GATGATTCACAGGTGGAGGAGAATTATTCACCGCCCTCCTATTGTAGTCGCTGCGAGATTGTGTACCTGTGGCTGAGAATCTTCACAGTTGGTTGAGAGAGGATTTCTCATGGTGCTGGATGGTGAAAATATATTGAGTCTGTTAGGATGTTTCATGCACTGGGCCCTTGGAGTCCACCTAGCATAACAATCTTTCTAGTGACTTTGGGGTAGATATTCACAAAAATAAAATTGACCCCGCAGCTCATCTTATAAGCAGCTATCTAAATGAAAACTCACATTCAGCAATGAAGGTATCTGTTGGTACGAGAAGGATACGGAAGACGTAGCACCCACGGATTACGTAGGTCCTGTATGTCTAATTGTATTCTGTCTAAAGAGCTAGCTACATATTGAAAGTAGTAAGTCTTATATAGACTTACTAAAAGAGCTAGTCTCTTTCGCGTTCGCTTAGTTCTTTATTACAGTAGTAATTGAATTGAAGTCATTCACTTCGTTCACACAGTATCCTTGCAACTATTAATCGAAGCCGGAGAAGGTGGAAGAAATTATATGTGCTTCATTATAACACAGTTTTAAAGGGAAGAGACGTCCTAATTGAGATAAGAAATGAGTCTAGACATATTGTTATTCATCTTATTTGCTTTTCTTGCTGCAATGTTTATCGTGCTGGAATTGGTAATGATATATATGGTAATATCGCTGTCACCACGTACCGGTTTCAGCACATGACATGTAGGTTAACTGTAATATTGTTGAAGATAAACTGTATTAGACTAGAAAATTCATGGTCTGATAGTCATAAACTCGAATGCATAGAGTTGTATCAACTTCTTAGGAAATATTTTTCATATCAGAGTCATACTGCACCACTTGGTGATAAATTCGATTGTGAAAGTAAACCTATTATGGGAATAATGTTAAGATCGGGGATGAGAATGAAGAGACATGTGTACTAGAAGAATAAGAAGCAGTTTAATCTAAAGAGGAATAAGAAGTGAATAAGTGAGAAAGGCTTTACAATATCCTTAAATACGCGGAGAAAGTTTCGCGAACATTTGAGGGGGAGGGCTGATAATTCCCTCCAGCATTATAGGTTTCCGCTCCTAACTGTTCCTCCGCTGGTGAAGGAGGAGAGCGGGAACCTTACGATACGCAACAAATATTTTGGGTTTGGAGATGCCCCTCTTCCATTCGTTGAAAATATGCATTGCATAATCAATCCCTGGTTTGAAATCTATAAGTCTTATCGCTCCACGCATTAACCTTCACTCGTCAGACAATTTGTAATTAAATTACCTCCAAAATGCACTTCTATGGGATCTCAACAACAATCTGATCTCCAGCCTTGACTTAAAACCTGGCTCTGCTAACCACGCCATATATCCAACACCAAGCGCACTCACTCCCTTGATGCTAATAGTTCAGACGAAAATCCTGTATTGTGTGTCTTCAAATCACTACAGTAACACCTCTAATATCTTCCATTTGTATCCTCATTCGTGGCTGATCTAGCTGAGGTTACTAGTAAACTGT